TAAAATCCCAATTTCAGTTGGAACTCCATCAAAGCCTAAAACCTGTCGATCATTCTTTTATACTTTTATTATGTGTTCTGTTTCTTTCTTTCTTAATCCATCAGCCATTTGCAATAAATACAATGATTGTATTTATTCAAGAATGGTAAACCATGCAGGTATTCATGGTTTCCAAAACCTTTCTGATCTCACCCCACAAATGAATCCTTCTGTTCTTCCTTTGGTTTGTACACTTGGTAACATCATCTTATGATTACGTCGATGTTATTATACCCAAAATAACTAAACAACAAAAGAGTAACTGCTGAGACTGCTTACATACAACCAGACACCTCCTAGGATCTGGTTCCTTTGTTTGGAAAAGGTTTAGGGTTTTGCTTTCATGAGACATCCCAGTTAGTTGGCCTACTAATGTTTAGTGCTTCTATTCTATCTCCTGAAGTTTCCAGTAGTGCCTAGGGTCTTAAAAGCTTACCAAGTGGCCAACCAAAACACAACATACAGCAATCTATTCACTGAGAGCCACAGAAGGAGAGTCAGGATAGCAGGAAGAATTGAGATGTGTGGTGAATTGCCTCCATGAAGAACCACTTCCTTTGCCAGGAGTCCAGAACGGGATGGTGTCCAGCTACTGTTGTTGAACATTTAAAAAAATAACATTTTATTGTGGTTTTTGGTGAAGGTTATTACTGAACACTTTGATCAAAGAAAGATTCTATTTTAAAAATCCTGATCAAAAGGACAAAATACAGAATAGAATTTCAAATTCTCAAAATCTAGGCTTTCTGGAACTATGGAGGGTAGAGGTAATTTCTAAGCCTTAAAACAAAAATAACACCGACCCACACCCCACAAGTCCTCTTAAAACTGAACAATAGTTGATAATTTTAAAAATGTCTGCCTTGTGTATTATGCTCTTCATTCTCCCCTATCTTCAGTCATAACTATACTAGTTATACCTCCAAGAGACACTTAGGAAAGGTATTAGGACACAGCAAGACTTTTTCTCTTTTACTAGAACTGCAGATTTGGGGATGGGGGGGCGGGGGTGGACAGGATCCTTAGAAATTCACTAAGCAATGAGATTTACAAGCTTCCAGGGCAGGCAAGTGTTGGAGTCACCTGGAGAGCAGTTAGAGTACCACACAGCCCAAATCAACGCAGTTTCAAATTGGTACTCTAGCTTTAGCTCACCAGACACACTGGTCTGTTTGCCAGTTCTGACAGGTTCCAGAGGTAACCTCCTAATTTGCACAGCATGCCAACGTCATTTATGTCTCTCTAGATAGTAGATGCTGAGATGCGTAGCCTATTAGAGTTATTTCATCTGACCCAAGGAGTTACAAATAGTTCAGAATAATCACATGGCCACAATACAAATAATGTTTATTATTCAAGTATACCTCTTATGAAATGAGACATGGCAACTGCTGAGACATATATCATGTAGTTATTTTAGATAGATATAATCATAATTTTAAAAAATAGTCCATGTCTATTTACAGAGGATTTGTCTGACTATAAGTATAGATGAGATATATCCACTGTTGACTCAATTCCAACTCAAGGAGCTATCAGTAAAGGTAAATGCTATAAGAAGTGGACAATCTACAACATGATACCCTGAAACTGTATTTAAAAACAAACAAAAAATCACTAGCATCAAGTTGACTCTGACTAACTGCCACCCTACATAAGAGTTCCAAGACTAATACTTTACAATTGGTGAGTTTAACCTCTGACCTTGCGGTCATTATTCCAATGCTTGACAGTACCACCAAACCAAAAACAAACTCACTGCCAACAAATCAATGCCAACTCATAGTGGCCCTGTAGGGCAGGGTAGAACTACCCTGTGAATTTCGGAGGCTGTAACTGTTTACTCCAGTAGAAAATCCACCTTTCTCCCAAGAAGCACATCACGGTTTCAAACTGCTGACCTTGAGGATCACAGCACAACCAGGGCTCATTAAAACCTGTATTACCAAACAAAATCTACTGCCATCAGGTTGATTCTGAGTCAGACCAACCCTATAGAGAAGAGCAGAAATGTCAGTTGGAATTTCTGTGGATGTGACTGTTTACCAGAGAGAAAGCCTTCTTTCCTCCCACAGTGTGGCTGTGGATTCAAACTGCTGGCCTTGTGGTTAGCAGTCCAATGTTTAACCCTCTATATCCCCACGACTCCATACTCAATGTAGTCTGATAGACATTTTATGTCCTCACTTGCCATTTCACGTTGACTTATGCCATCCAATCAATTCTGACTCAAAACAAGCCCTCTAGGGCAGGGTAGAATTGTGGTTGTGGGTTTACTAGATTGTAATGCTTCATGGGAGTAGAAAGGCTGTATGTACCTTTGAAGAAATTCACTGACATATCTCCATTCATCCACTGAAGCATCAGACTTGGACCTTACACCTAAACCTGAACTTGATTATCACAACTGTGTTCCAAAAACCAGAGAAGAATGGATGTAGAATCAACACTATTCCCTACTTCCATGTTCTCTGGAAGTCTTCTAAGTGCTAACCTGGTCTAAGAGAAGCAAAAAATATCTAAGTACCAGTTAAGAACCAAGTTGGTTTGTTTTTTAAGTTTTGAATAAGAGACAAAGACCCAACAATAATGCCACTGGGAAAAAAAAAAAAGCTAAACATAGTACTACATCAAAGTACAATAAGAGTACTACTTAGCTGAGGCGGTAGAGAGAAGTGGCTGAGCACTCAGGCTTCAGTGCTTGCTCTCTGCCTGTGTAATCTTGGGCCAAATTTTCCAAAAACTCTCTGCCCCACGTTCTTCTTCGGTATAAAAGGGACCGTCTAAATTGTTGGAAAGTAATGTACTAAGTCATAAAGCAAATAGAAATGGATGTTTTATCTAATAGATGGGCTAAAAATTCAGTTTTAATAACACATTGCTGACGAAAATGTTGAAAAATACTCAGTCTCATACAGTGATAAGCCTTATGGAAGGCAATTTGAAATACCAATATTGAAATGCTATACCATTGATATTCTGGCCTCGGTGTGAAAAGAAAGGTATAGAAAACCCAAATCTCCATCAAAAGGATGATTAAATAAAGAATCGCAAATTCGTAACATTGAATACTAAATAGCAATTGTTTTGTTTTTTAATAGATTGAAGACAATGATATACAGATATGGAATTTAGTGATCTAGAAAGGTACCCTAAGGGAAGTGAATGCAGAACAACAAATAATGTATATGGTATGTTACCTCTTATACAAAAATAACTACTGAAAAATTAAAATATTCAACTTATATTCACACAACGAAGCAAAGATCAATGGGTAGATCCACATGATAGAAAGAAAACATCTAATTGTATACCTTTTTATTATATTTATTGCTAAATATTAAATTGTACCTATTTACCTATTAAATTTTTCAAATACTTTAAAGTAATCTGAGATATACATTTTACATTCTTAACTGTCAGCTGCAATTATTATGTTATTAGTATTAATACGTTCAAAACCCTTCCTTCCTTAAGGCATTTTTTATATTCCCTGTATGCTTAAGCCACCTCTCCCTCCTAGACTCTTTAAGGAATGCATCACTTTCTGGATTGGTTTTGCTTACATGCTAGTATCAGTAGCTTAAAGGCCAGGTCCACATGCCTGTCCACGTTTAATATCTAAGGAGCCTTACTTGTACATAGTAGGTAAAAGAAAAGGAAAAAAGAAGTGGCGATTTCTGAAAGGATTGATGGCAGTGGGACTGATGTAGTCACCCTCCCCCACCAAAATAAAAAAACAAAAAGTTACCCTCCAATGGACCTGGACTCACAGTGAGCCTATAAGGCAGCCCTATTCCCCAGCTGGCATCTTTCCTGAAGCAGACTGCAACATCTGCCTCATCTTCCTTGGAGGAGGGTTCAACCCAAACACCTGTGAATCAGCAGTGCAATGCTTTATGCACTGTGCCATCTGGGCTCCTTAAAGGGATTAGACTCTGTGTGTCATAAATTACAGTCTACCTGGAAATTGGGAAACTTGAATAACTGGATTTGCTAATGCTCTTTCAACTCCTGCCCAATGAAACTTTGTCTTTCACTCGCTTTTCCTTTTTTCCCCCAGCACTTCCCACTAATAGTGACAGCATGTTCCAAGCCAAGACCCTACATGTTCTAACTCTGTAACTCACTGCAACTTCTGAATATTGCCTTCTGTCCTAAATTCCAACACTCTCGTGCATCATTCCTGCCTTACTTTTTTTTAAAAAAAAACGTTGGGTGTCTCCTTTTAAATAAATGCTCACATACTAGCGAGCAGAGGACCGTACCTTTAACTGGTACAGATCTAACGCTCCATAGGTCATCTGCTCACTGTTTTGTCTGTTCTGATACGTCGGGTAGCCCGTAACTAGCTGCTCTGCAGCCCGGTTCTCGAAGTTATTCCAGCACACCAAACACTGCTGACAGCTCAAGTCACTACAGGCCCCTCCCCTGCCCTCCTCCTCCAGCTCCAATCAGCCCTCAGCTCCTTTCCAGGTAGAGACAGACACACTAACAGTTTCAGAAGTCCTTCCCCCACCACCAGCCCAGGCCTCCTCCGGGGCCGTTACAGGTAACCCTTACGCATCATCCCGTGGCGACCCAATTCTTTCTCCAGCACCACCGCTCCCGGCCAGTCCAATACCCGAGCAGCTTTACAGACTTTCCCAACAATAAGTACACAATTGACAGCTAGACGCCAGATCCCCCAAGTCTCCTTTCCTCCTCCCTCTCCACCTACCCCACGCACAAGCTCTCGCCGAGCAACTGCTCACCAGCCCTGCCTCCTAAGCATGCTCTCTGCTCTCCCCGACTCCCCACCCCTTCCCACTGACAGCTCTGTCACCTCCATCCCCATGTGGCTGCACCCTCCCCTCCCCCTCCGCCTTCCCTTGACAGCTCAGGGTTGACTCGCAGGCTCCCACAGGTCCCCGGGGCCCCTGCGCAGGGGTCGCGGCGCTCCCCGGGAGGGCTCCACTCACCCGCTCTCCCGCATCACGTTGCTGTCACCGCAGTCACAGGCGCCCCCGGCCTGGCTGCGGAACATGTTGAAGTCGTGGCCGGTGTGGTCGCCCTGGTGGAAGCACTCGGCGCACAGCGACATGCAGGGGGAGATGCCGCAGGTCCGGCAGCGGTAGGCCACGAAGTTGGCTGTCCAGACCAGGCCGCAGAGCGCCGCGGGGTCGTAGGCCCGCACGGCCGCGCAGAACTCGTCGTAGCCGCCGCCGCCCGCCAGAAGGCACTTACACCACTCCAGGGTGAGCACTCAGGCTTCAGTGCTTGCTCTCTGCCTGTGTAATCTTGGGCCAAATTTTCCAAAAACTCTCTGCCCCACGTTCTTCTTCGGTATAAAA